ATAATTCAAGTTCTATGTATTTGGTTATATTTGTGTTTTCTTTTTATCTATAGTTCTTTGGAATAAAGTTTATGGTTGAACAGTAAAATCTCAAGCTTCAATTACATTTCAGTGTCATAGTTTTAAAATATATATATAGCTGCAGGGGCGAATCCAAGGGGTGGGGTTATGGAGCACAGGCCCAAGCTAAAATCTGTCCTCTCAGTAATACAAAAAAAAAGTCAATAAATATTACAATGCGTTAAGTTTTTCTGTTTTCAAAGCTTTTTTGAAGAACATAATGTGCTAGAACAAGAGAAAAAATTAAAAATATAAAAAAATGTGTGGCTTTCTTTGAAACTATATAACTGACAGTAAACAAGGAATGACTCAAAATTTGCTTCTTACCAAAAAAATCAGTGTTGGTCGAGCTCTATTTAAGACTCAAGTAAAGCTCTAAGGAAGAGGGCTGAGAGAAGACTATGACTTAGTGCTGACAGAGCATTAGCTTCACTTAATATTCACTGGACACTTACTATACAAACAGAAAATAACAAGCAATATGTAAATACAACAACAGCAGAACATAGAAAATAGATCACTTGAAAGGATATGAATGTATCAAAATCTTAATAGCTATTCGCCTAAGTAGATTAAAAGGGCTTAAGATGTACAAGGAGGGCGTGGCACTGAAGCGGAAGATTGTTTTCCCTTTGTTTATGACTATAAATGTCTGTGGAGAGAAAAAAAGAGAGAGAGAGAAAACGAGACAGTTAGATCATTCAAAGGATTAATTACATGTCACATATGGTTCATTAGATGGTCTGAAAACCTTTGTGCTTTCTTATTTTAACCAGAGGAAGAGATGAGTGTAACTTGGCTGCTGATTGGCTGATGTGAGTCCTGAGCTCACCTCTGAGTCATGAGGCATTGCTGCATTGGTTTCAGCTAAAACAGAGCTGGTTCTCACAATACAGGTGATTCTGAAATCCATCAGAATGCAGCATTTTGATTTGAGTCCTCACAGCCTTGTCACTTCATCCATTTCATAAAGAGACGACAGTGAGTAAAGAACTTCTGATCTTAAACTAGCACACAGGAGAAACACAGTAGTAAAAAGATAGAGGATTACACAAGGGCACAAAGTCAGAGGACGCAAGGACACAGACATCACTCCTTCCTGGGTGGCCAGTCACTCATGAGGAGTCAACACCTCTGTCCTGGTTGCATCAGACCAAGCCTCTGCCTCTGTGTGCCGCCTCAGGAGCAGCAGACAGGCGCAGGCATGGGAAGCTCTCTCCTCTCCCTGGGCCAAATGACTCTCTTCTCCCCAAGTTTAAAGCTCTTACTGGAAGAGAACCGCAAATGCTGACATCGATCAGAGGCAGATCTGCTGACTCTCAGGCTCTCAACAACCACTCCCCACCCATAAACAGCACCGGGCCAAGTGGGGCTGGGCACTGGGGTGAGGCAGCAGCATGTTTTCTTTGTGCATACCTATAGGCGCTTGTGGATGTTTGTGCAGGATTTTGGACACAAAATGCAGGGTCAGAATGAGAAGTATAATCATTTTACAAACAGACAAGTGGGATACTTTACATTCACAACCTCTGTTGCTCCCACTTTCTTTAAAGGCATCGCAGTTTATAGCTGGTTCAAGCACTTTGGATGAGAATCTGTGAGTCCTCATCCAATCCTCTCTTCATATGTATATGTATTTATAGAAAATATATCATCTCCTGTATGTGATGTAGTAATGTCTCGATCAAATTCATATCTGGAAATAGAATAATTTATATCACTTTCAATTTAAAATGGAAATTTGCATTTAGATCCTTTGCATTCAACTTTAAGTGATTAGCAGTTTGTGTAGATGTTGATGTTCTGTGAACTGACAAATGATGAACGGCCACTTGCTGGAACACACTTATAATAAAGCCAATTGGTCTTTAGTATGCACATGACATCAGCTAAAGAGAAATACACCCTTCACAAATTTGCGGTTCTCGCCACGGGAAACACCAGGAAGAATTGTTGAGGCGACCGTAAGTGTCCAGAGACAAGTGGTGTCCTGAAATCTAATTAAAGTAAAAATAGCGTCCACAATGTGGGGGAAGACAAAATGTATTCTCTCCACCGGAGGCCTCCTCTCACTCTCCCTCCCTCCTTGTTTCTTTCTGCAGAGCATCTACTTGAAATATCCTCTCACTGTTTTTCGCACAATTATTTTCTTGTATAAACATATTGTAAATGTTCACATCTTTCTCTCGCCGATCAAGTAAAGTGTTTTGTTGACTAAGAACAAGTATGTGCATGAAAAGAGAGATAAAGATTACACAGCAATATTCTGACTATTGATCCTATTCTGAGACAAAGACATTATAAATACTTGATTTTGATTATGATGTTTACATGAGATTCTGGTATACTGGAATACTGGTTTCCATTTAAATATGTCATATGTTTCTTATGTGGATTTATAGAGGTTTTTGAAAACTTCAGAGATAAAGACACTGCACTCCTGCATATGTGTGCTTTGTGCATTTTGAGTCTGGGTTTTGAAGTAGGTCATCCTCTTCACCAAATGGAAATACACAATTTTTCACAAAGATCCTCAATTCAACAACAATGAGGCATCAGAAAGTCAATGACCTGACTCAATTTGGAAACAGAAAATTTGTTGATGGAAACCTGGCACAATTACAAGAAGGGATGCAAATGTCACAGGCAATTCACTTAATTGATTGTCTGCCACAATGATCGACCACAATCGATCAATGGATTCATCTTATAAAATACAAATCTCACGAATTTGCTCTATAAAGCTCAATTGTTATGGGTTATTTTCACAGCACACTTATTAATAATGGGGTAAATAAAGTAACTTAAAACAAAATTTAATAATGATAAAAATATAAATGACTTAACAGAACAATAGAAGAGGAAGCTACAGTGAGTTGGATTAATGAGGAGCTGCAGGCAGTACGTGCTTATTGTAATTTCGATGAACTCTAAACTGTATAGAAAACCACACACCCCAATCACATGATCAAACACCCACAGGAACAAAATTCAAACATAAGACTGTTGTTTGGTAAATTCTTCACAACAAATAACACAGTGACTTATCAAAACCTAACTACCCCAAACTAATTCATTTCCCAGAGACACATGTAAAATTGTTTGACAGAGTGAATTGGTGACATCATCTTTGTGTTCAAAGTCTTGATTTCCACAACACATTTCAATGGCAGCTACATCTCATCCATGTTTAGGAAGCTCACTTTGGGAAGAACTTCATAAATATAATCACATTGAATTGATGGATCACAAAACACACTATATGTAACACTAAGGATGTTAAAGGCCTTTACACACAGTGCATAAAGATGCACAGCTACACACCTCACTATAACTACACCTACACAACTCAGCAGAGCGAGCTTCAAGCCTTATTTGCTGCAAAGCAGGAGAAATGTTCCTAATTCTCCACAGAGCTTTAAAGAAAAGAGCACATATGCAAGAAATCTGGAGGCAGAATGCAGCTCCAAGGACAGTGTGTGTGTGTGTGTGTGTGTGTGTGTGGGCGGGCATGTGCGTGTGTGTAGCAGCGGATATGAAGAGGGGCTTGCAGGGGTATGGGACAGCAGCAGAGGGAGGCGAAGAGAGAGAGAGATGAGGGGGTGGAGGGGGAGTGATGCAGAACAGAAAGTCAGAGAGCTGCAGAGGAGAGAGAGAGAGAGAGAGCCAAACCTGAGATGGATGGTGGGAGGACTGGGGAGGCATGCAGCAGCAGAGAGAGAGAAACCGAGAATGAGATGATGAGGGAAATGTAAGCAGGTAAACAGAGTTTAATCATAGGGGGGGTGTTCTCTTACCCTAATACTCCTCACAGGACCCCAGCCTGACACAGACAGGTCTGATACTGCAAGTAACTGACTCAATATCTGGTCTTTCTAAGCTGCAGACCTATAAGGAGACTGCAATAATGAATATTATAACAATTAGTTGATTCAGAGGTGAGATAATGTTTTTATGAGGAAGATTCCGACTTCTTTATTTTCTATATAGGTTTTTGAACTATTGGTTGAATTTAAATAGACTAACAATCAATAAATGAATGGTTAGAAAAATTATTAAAACAGTTGTTAAAGCTAGGGTTGGTAATCCTGGAAAAGCTAGCAAGAGCAGACTGACAACTGGCTAATGGCTATATCTATATATAGATAAAAAGTGTATCATAGACAAATTACCATCCTAACTTTACCATGGGACTTTAGATGACCTTCTTAACATCATAACATATGATTTTAAATCGAATCATATCTGGATTTCTCTTTGCACAACAATAGAAAACGTTACACATATACAGATTAGCTGGATTTCAGCCTTTTCTGCTATGTTTTGGACTGAGTGCATTTTACAGAGAACCAAAAAAATCTAATCTTCCACGTTGTTGACTGTGAAACTTTGATGATTGTAGCTTTAGTTTAATATCTGTACCTGAAACATCAACTTAAAAGCTTCTGCAGTAAGATATATTCACTAATGTCTCACCTAAATGACTGCAAACTAATGTCCCTGCAAATTATACCACACTAAGTGAAAATAAATGCATCATCATCTCTTTTTTTTCTACCTGTATGTTGTTCTGCTTTCCCCACCCCTCATTCTTTACACCAACCTGGCTGTAGCAGTGAAAGCACACTCAGCCCCCTCCACCCCGTCCCTTCGTCATTCAGCCTCAGTACAGGAGGATGCTGTGTCATCAGAGGCTGAGGACTCAGACAGAGCACTAAAGCCTAGCCCTCGCTCTAATTTACTACACCCTAAAAAGAAAATGCCAGAGAGGAGGGGGAGAAAGCAGAGACATGTCAGAGACACACATAGAGACAAAGAGACAGAGATGGTGGAATAGAGACATAACGTAATGGTATGTACAGTATATGCTGAGATCCAGATTTGACTTCTGCATTCGCCATGAGCTCCCCTGCTGCATTCACTAACAGCTGCAGAAGCCTGAAAAGAAAAGCCTGGTTTTCTGCACACTCCTGATACAAGATGCAAACGCCACCGTCAGGAGGAGAATGGAGCTTTTGCAGCGACAAAACATGAACAAATCTTTTATTCCCATGCTGTTGTACAACAGCCTATTCAAGCTGAATCATCTTAACACAATTTCATTGTACTGTATATCACACGTAAACACTGCAGCTAAAACACAAGTATGCCTTCCATCCCTCCTACCATCCATCCAACCATCCATCCATCCCGTCCTGCTCTTCCTGTGTGACTACAGCACCTTTAACATTGCCTAATCACATCAGACATTTGAAAAGCCCAGGCAGTCCTCTCCCCATCACAGGGGAAAACAAGAACTGCAACGCTGCATTTCTCTACCTCACCACTGCCCCCTCTTCCTCCCTTTGATGCATGAGTGCTATGATCAGGTTTCCTGCAGCTGATGGTAACACACTCACACACACACAGGCACATACACACACACACACTCATTGACATACAGTGCAATGGTGATCATTAGGATGACTGTCGGTCGAGTAGAGGAGAAGAGCAGCGTGAAAAGGTGAGGACGCGAACAGCTTGAGGAGGAATGGCCGCTAACCATGAATATGCTAAGAGGAACTTCCTCAGGTGTGATAAAGGACAGAGACATTAGTGTATTAGGAAAATGACTGATGTGACTGATGAACATGGGATGATGAGGTCTTAGCCTGTGACTCTCATTCAACTGATACAACACATGGGTTTGCAGGATATGATGAAGTCAGCAGATCTTGACTAAGCAGAATGAGGAGCCAGAACCTGTACAAGCAGAAACACAAGCAGCAGCGTAATAGTTAGATGAGCTATATAGCTATGCAGTCTAAAAGCCCAGTAATCCTTACAGCCATTTTAAAAGTCCCTTAAAAACATACTGTTAAGTATATTGTGCATACTGCAAATACTTTTTTCAGGTCATGGATTTAATTACTCAAGATTAACAACATTATGATGTTAATCATTCAGAAACTCTTAAATGCCAATGAAGTATATGTTTGTATTTCTCATTGGCACAACATCCAATGTTGGAATGTACCTACAGCTTGTAGCAGCTGATGGCCTGTTCACTGGTACAGAATTACACCCAATAACTGTTCAGAAATAATATTTATTTTGAAGATCAACTATCTCTTGTTTTAGAGAACAAGCGTGTTATAGAAACGACGTAGATGTTATTATATTTCACAACTCCTGCTTATTTGACAAACATGTTTCATGTCATTTCAAGGCTCTTATTAGCTAAAGGCAACTACAGTATATGACTGATTTTATTATTAAATCAATATTTCAAATAGAACATATATATTTTTATTTCACCATTTAAAATAAATGTATTACAATTTAACAAATCTGAATAAACAAATTAAATTATATTTGCAAACTGAAGATCCATAGTTGTACCATGGTTTACTGTGTTTTCTTCTTTGGGTACCATTCATCTACATTTTTGCAGCGTTGCTTTTCCGGTATCAGGTTTTCACAACAAGTTGAAAAACCTCCAATGTGATTGTGTATGAAATGATGAACATTCTATGGTAATAATGTGTAAATGGAGATTATGTTTGAGCCGTGTAAGTTCACTACTTAACTTTTTCAGGAATAAACCACTCCACCAAATTGCCTTGAGAGACAGAATCAGTTTTTTGATTTTTTACTTCCTGACAGCACTTTGACAGCACTATAACTCACTTCGTATTTCACGGTCAGCAGGCGTTACAACTATCAACTATGCAGAGACTAAATAGAAAAAAAAAATTTAATTAAATCAACCAAGAAGTCTCATTGTAAAGACACCATACCATCTCAGAGACCTTTGCTCACATTTGGCTGAAATCAAAAGATCTGCACCTGGTCAAAGAGGAGTGTGAGTTGAAACCATGATGAAGAGCTCTGCAGCCACTTCCCTTCAGTCACCAAAGTGAGGCGCCACAGAGGAGAGTGAGGGGGAGGGAAAGAAGTATGTATTGGGAAATAAGCAAAGTGGGGAAGGATAATAAGACGAGGATACAACCCTGACTCTGGCCACCACTGAACTAAAGAGCTGTGGATCAATAGATCACAAAAGGCACATACACTTGATAGTTTCATCCAAGCTTGGAGGGAGAGCTGCTGGTAGAGACGAGCAGTCCTGCTGACTGGGCTTCTCGCTACCGTACAGGTCGCAGATTCACTTACACATTATCACTGCCACCACACAGGAGACTGGCTACTCCTCTACTCCTCCAGCTTTAAACAGCTGAAGGTACTATAGCATGCTGCCTTTTTTCGCCACTTCCTGTGCCGTCCTGTATCTTCTGCATTCGCTCACCATTACTCTTTTGATAGTGCAGAGATACAGTAAAGGTAGGACCAAGCTGGAGTTTAAGTCTATATGTCTATATTCTGCACTGTATATAAAATACTGCAAATATTTTTATTTGTTTTATTTGATATTTTTCATTTATTCCTCAATATATTCTATAAGCTTTTCATTTCTTGCTCTTGTACTTTGGGTTATTGCCTTTACCCTTCTCCTTAAACCTCAGTACCTGCTTCTTATTCTGCTTTCTCTCCTCCCTTTCTTTTCTACTTAAGTTTGAAATGCACCAAATACCAAAGCTAATTCCTTGTTTGTTTACTAAATAAAAACATGTCACTGTTTGTGTCAGCTGCCACACATAACATTCATCCAGTAGCTAATTTTCCTTAAATGCAGAAATTATGCTACTGCACAACATCACTTTTCAATGATCTTAAATAACAGTGGTACCGATGTACGACTGACATGACCCTCAATGCTAATAGATTTTCAGCTTATCTGTTTAAAAAAAAACAGATAGTAAAACGCTAAACTCAAACAGTCCAACAGAATTATGAGGCGAGTCAATTATCGATAATGAAAACATGGCTGCAGCTCCTCTATTAAAGAGGAGTGAAACATTTAATCTTTTGGATCCCTAGACATTTCTCAACACATGCATGCACACATTTTTAAAGCTGAATTATTATTTGACTGCATTGATGAAAATGCGATTCCCTCAGACAATTTGTTGGACAGAGCACCTGCCATCTGACAGCGATGATGGTATATTTGTCACCACCACAGATTAACACAGACTATCAATCAAACCTGCAGAAACTTATATGGAGGTAACTGATCCTAAAAACAGCTCCACAGCAGCCCTGCAGTGTTGCCGGAGCAGAGTAACATCTGTGACTCTACCTCAGTTGTGTGTCAATTTCTCAGATCTACGAATAAACTCACAAGTATTGTATGATCTCACTGTGCATCTGAATGATGCAGTGACTATCTCTGAGGTGTCAGTGACTGAATAGAAATGAAAAGCTCCTCAATGCTTCAAGGTCATCTTTGCTATTATGCTAACCTTATCCCTGTAGTGAATACAGTAACTTTCATTTGACTAAATTGATATGAGACCTGAATCTGTTATGAAAGTGAGTTTCATAACATATATCTGAAATGTGTTGTTGGTTTACATTGTCGCAGTTTCACATGAGAAGGCCTAAAGATTTAGCTCATTCGCAGCTTCATCACAACAGCTGAAAAACATTTTTAAAAAAAGGAATGTCAATTTCTCTCACCAACATTTAGCAAAAGCGTCTTCATTTGGACATTTATATGATGAGAGGACGAAAAACAGGGTGGTGCATGTGGCCTGCTGTGTGGCTAACTCACTTTCTTGTTCAAGTAGTAGGGGTCCAAATCCTCCAGCGGCGTGGCCGACATTCCATTAGGAAGATCACCGTAGATGAACGGCACGCTCTTCCCAGCCTCCAGGTCACTGTTTGGCTTGGGCTCATTTTCGTCAGATGTGTCACGGTGACTACTGTCTGATCTGGGCTTGGGCGGCTTCTTGTTTTTCTCATCATTGATGCGCTTCTCGATGTTCTCAAGCGACTCTGGGGTGAATTTCTTGAAGCTGTCAGGTCCTGGGGGTGCCATAAGGGGTGCGGCCATGTTTTCATCCTGCAGCTATTTCCTCTTTATTTGTTTTCCATCCCAGACATGCAGCTCTAAGGGGAAGAGAGAGGGACAAGGAGTGAGGAGGTGAAGAAAAGTGAGCATTAGGCACTGAGCAAAGATGATGAAGAGCATATGAATGAAGGAGAAAAATCATTGTATAAAACGTCGTTTTTTTTTCAAATGTAAAGTGATTAATTACAACACTGACTGAACAACAAATTGTTAGATTTAAAATGCTGAACATTACATATAATATGCTTGCAGAGTTAATGTATCATATTACATCATGTTATATTGTTTAAAGGTGTATAGATGGAGTTTAAAAGTTCTGCCAGAAAAAGCTAACAAAGCAAAATGAAGCTGGAAAAGTGCAAACATATGGAACATGGACTAGTCGGCACTATTTCTGCTCTCTTCATCAACCTTAATAACCAAAGCACTGATCCTGAATCCCAAAAAGCTCAACTTCAGTTCTTAACACAGGCAAAATTTCTGCTTTCACTATTATGACCCCAAAATCAGAGTTTTCTTTTCTTGTATTTACTGTGTGCCTGTATACTGTATATCTCACTGTTTCACACAACATTTTGCAATACTTCTTTCTCAGGGATGTTTATTTTGCATCTTTACTCTAACCATGCAAAATGCAACATACTGAGTCATGTTTTTCCCTTAAGTTTCATATCATTGATATTAACAATGAACACGACGACACTGTGGAATGTCAATGTGTTGGCAGCATCGCTGGTCTCAGTGACGATCTGTTAGAGTTGTAAAAGCTCTATGCAGCTATCAGCTCATTGGTTTGGTTTGGAGGTCTCTATGCTCAAGAACAAACAACTCTCCATATCAGTCTGTGCACAATAAAGGGTTAAGAGTTTCCCAGCACACAGGCTAAGACAAATATTTTACACTATGCTGCACAATAACAATCTTATATTAGCTTGATGAACATGCAATTTTAGCGAGGAGTCTGGTGCTACTGTTTTTTTACATGTACTTGATATGTCAAGGTATAGGACTGGGCAATAAGACAATTTCAATAATAATCCCAATTTAATTTTCATCAATAGCAATTTAACAAAGGTCCAATGTGTCAATATATTGCTTATACATTGTTCAACTACAGTGAGGAGATATAACACGTAACTGATCTACCTCAGATTTGTGAAATGTTTTGCTGTTTATCACTGCTCATTAAAAAATGTTTAAAAGGAAAACCTTCACTCAAGAGACTCTTTTTATTTTCATTTATCATGATAATTATCGGTAAACTGATGTGAATTTTTTTCAGCTTACAATGCAGCAAAGCCTAAATTTGTTTCTACCATTTATGTACCACAGCCATTATCATATAAATTAAAGATGAAGCAGATAACTGACTGAGACTTGTGGTTGTATGCAATGGGTAGGACATGAGAATAATACAAATATTGACAGATTTTAAAGAATGATGTAATAATGAGCTGTGATTAAAACACATTGACAGTAACATCTGACTGTTTTGTTGTTCTCTGTGACGATCTCATCCATCTGATCCACTTGACTTGACAAAATGTAAAAACCTTTATAAAAGTCACAACACACCTGACACAGGCCTCACTGCTGTATTCTGATGTCGTACATCATACAACTGTGTTGGCCAAAACAATGACAACAATGGATTAAACTGTCACAAGATATTTTCATAAATAATTACAGGAAATTTAAGTGGGAGCCATAAAACCTCTGATGCTCTGACTCATTGTATAAGCACCGAGGTCCTATTGACATCCTGCATCTCTCCAGGCTCCCCCTGTTGGCTGATGGCCATGCTGTCTGATACATCACATCTAACAGTCAAGTGGCAGTTCAGGGCAGAGTGAGCAACATTCAAGAAAACAATGACAAAAGAGTACACACCTGGAAATGAATCAGAAAGGAGTGAGCAGGAGAAAATCCACAGGCCGAGAGAAAGACAGAGATCCAACAACTTCTATCTTCAAGAGAGGAAAGAAAGCGGAGCCAACCAGAGGAGCAATGAATTCCTATTCAGGTAACCCAACCTCGGCACAACCTCCAAGTCTCCTTCCACAAATGCAACATCAATTGATCTACAGTCAAGGTGATTCACACCAGGACGCAATAACATGGCCAGTGCATGCTTGACACATGACGCTGGACACAATCCTACAAAAAAAAAACCGGCAGCAGAACTGAGAGGCGACCAGAGGAAAGTCCACTAACTTACTGGGTCATATGAAAAAACACTGCGTAAAACAACCAGACTCTAACTGAAAAAGAAACACTCAAACAATTAGACTGGATCCTGTTGACGTATGAGAGCGCACGGGCCAACACATCGCACAGGTACATCCGAGCCAAATGAGTCCGGAAATTAAAAAAAGATATAAATAAAGATAAATAAAAACTGACAAATTAACAATTGCTGTCTCAGTTGCCTCCAGTGGGGATTTAAAAAAAAAGCTTGTCCGGGTTCAGCAGCGCAACGACAAAACTGCTGTGACGCTGCGTCAGGAGAGAAAGAAATCCATAAAGCCTCCGTCCGGATACATGTAGACATCAAATGAATCCTGTATTGTGCGGTTTGCTCTGTGATGGAGAGATGACATCTGATGGGACTCACCGGACACCGCGGAGACACGGAGCTACAGGGAGGAGGGGGAGGGAGGGAGGTAAGGAGGGAGAGAGGGAGGGGTGTACTGGGCACTTGCATCAGAGTCACATGGGCAAAAAAAAAAAAAAGAACTTACACATCCTTCATTTCCTGCAGTGATATTTTTATAAAAACAAGCCTTAAAAGTGAGCCCTGCTGCCCTGATAACAACCCGGACGCCAGATATTTTAAAGGGGCCTCTAACAACCTCTCAGGTCCTGAGTGGATGCCACCTTCTGAGCTGGGTCAGTTTCAGGTCAAGTTAAGTATATGACTAGTACCAGTTTAAGATCTGACTGATAATTTTGATGAGTTATAATAATCTGCCTCCCCCCCAGAGGACTGAGAAGGAGTGAGGAATTAAATTGTGAAGCACTGGGCTACCGAGGAGATAAACACCTATACTCCTATATTTCTCTGGGACAACTTTGTCCCAATGTGAGATGAAGACCACCCGCTCCCCTTCACATTATATGTTACATCATGTAAATGGACTGAGGCTGATTTGCAGCCGGAAGGTAAAAGTGCACCGTTTTATACCGAGGCGTGCCTATAGGGCCAAAGCCTAAAATACTGCAGTGTGGTTTATTGCTGCTATAGGCTCTGACTAACTAACTCCTAGTAGGTCAGCTGAATACACACCAAGCCATATCCTGACAACTCATCATCACTGGCCTCCGCAAACAGCATCCCAGCATAACCCAGTCCCACACCAAAGGAAACAGTCGAACGATTTATAGACAGAGTGAAAAAGAAAAACAACTATATAATGGGCCTTAAGGCTGTACCACACCCGCATATGATGATGTATGGGAGATTCAGAAACCCCATATATGATGTTGGTGTATAGAGCAAAAATATGACGGGGGAAATCTTAATTCTAATGCGTGAAAAGAGCAGGGGGAAAGGTGAGAGGATGTGCCAAACTAAAGACGCACCTTCCTCCTCACGCAATACAGTCTCCGAAGAGATGGCGAGAGGGAGGGAGGGAGGGAGGGGGTGCACAGAGGTGGTATGTGGGGGTGGGGTGGTGGGGGGTATAAAACTATCATAGCCATAAAATAATGGCAGCGAGAAAACTGCTACGGGAATGAGTCTGCAAAGCATCGCATTACGCATGAAGAGGCGGCTGCGGAGAGCGTGCACTGTAGTTACACAGCGGCCGCTCGGAGAAGTTTTAACCTAATCTCACTTCCCCCCCCATCCTGTATGCGTATGTTTCACATTCTGCCACAGTGGAGTGTCATTCCATCCAGCGGCGCGCAGGCCAACACCCAAATAACCCGCTGTCTGCCTCCTTTCTCGCCTCCGCCACCGCGCCGCATCACAAAGTGCACGTCTTCCCCCTGCGCTCTCTGAAAAGCCCCGCATCTTCCCCGCACCTCTGGCCTCGCATGTTCATATCTGCTCCATGCTACTGGCACGCAGCCCTCCTCCTCCTCCTGCTGCTGCTGCTGCTGATGCACAGACGCTATACGGTGCCAAGAGAGGAGAGGGACCGCTCTGCGGCACTGGGATCATGCAGTCAGTCGACAAAGTAGCGCTGCGATCCATCCCACGGCCAAAATCTCCAGACAAAGCAGAAAACACACAGTCTACTTACTTTTTCTCGCATCAACAGCGGCCCGGACAGCTGTCAGTGAACTGCAGATATAGAAAAGAGTCGGGAGTAACTGCGGCTGTCGCCATATTGTTGCTGCTATCTTCCTTCCCAGTGCGTGCGGCTACCCTGCATAATTGATGACTCTCAGCAAATTGTTAGGGAGTGTCTGTAAATGCCTTTAGTTTCAATAACGGACAAGAGACCGCAGCATCGTAAGCAGAAAAAAAAACACTGTTCCCTCTTCATGTAATAATAATAGTAGACTCATTGATATTCTGCTTGGCAACATTTTTGTTTTCATCTCGATTTCATATGACAATAGGAAATATAGGAATATAAAAAAAAGGGTCCATAATTTTGGAATTAGATCTGAAGTTTCCAAATAAAAACAACTTGGAGCTTACAATTATGAGTATTTAAGTTAGTAATGGAAGAATATAAACGTAAAGACACTGAAGGCACATCGTACCAACATTACCATTTGTTGTGCTATATTGAAGGTGTCCCCAGGCGAACCAAGGACCCTTACAAGGACCCTCATGCCAAAGCTGCTGAATGGAATTCATAAATTGTCAATTTAAATATTGATACCTGCCAAAATGTGTTTCAATGAAAAAAGAGTATTAGGCAGCTGCAGAGCTGCTTTAGAAATGTTTACATGAAGCAGAAAAAAATTAACGAAAAACCCCAGAAATGTCTCAGGATGAAAAAGATACACAAAGAGGACAAAGACAATGAGAAATGAAAGCTTTTGGTGATATGGGCTGTGTCGATGTGCATATATACAGTTTTAAAGTTTGCATATTTGAAGTATTTATCACAGTCCTTGCCACTGGAATCAGTAGAATTTTATGTAAGGACCTGCCAACAACAGATTCAATTTCTAAGCCTAAAATACAGCATTATATGGAGGTTTTGAGCCCAGTTTCATAAATATCCATCCTAATCAAAAACGTGCATACTATACGATCAAATATCTTAATACATATGAAGCAGGCAAAATGCATGGGCTATCAATCAATCCACAAAAAATGTCATTCAGTGGCAAACTGATGCTATATGAAGCTATTCTTTTATAAACCTCTTGAATTTCTTTAGTTTCTGATTTTATCTTAAGTACCATCAGTGGTTCCACGGTGACACAAATGGTGCTTTGGCTGTAAATGTTCTAAATTCAAAGCCAAGGGAGATTCTGCATTCCCAGTGAGAAGGAAGTATAAGCAGTGTCTGACACTGGAGCAAGTTACAATTACTTCACTTAATATAGTTCACTCATCAGACAAGACAATAAAGATGAATATGGCTCTTTTCAGAGACTGGGTTAGCAACTGTTTGAAAATCTTTTTGGTCCACCATAAATGTTCTGTAATGTCTGTAGCAGTAGGAGGCTATGTTTGTTTTTAGTTTTCTGATTCTTTGTAGGGCTTTCTGTGCAGAGTAGATCAAGTCAAGTCAGTGAATTCATTATTGGAACAATTGTGTAATATATTATAACCCTTAGAACTTACCTATCAACCTTCAAAATATATATTTGGAGGGTTTTATGAAGGGGGATTATGAATATGACCCAACAATGTCTCTATCTGGTGGTGCTTTGAAGAACTGCACCTTTAGAAATACTTGCCATGCAGTTTCTACAATTTCATGAAGACTGTGTGATGCAATCCAAAGCTTCCAAAAAAGGGACTAAGTGGACCTTGATTTGTGATAGCATTAACACGCAACTGTGAAGTTTATGTCTCCACTTTTCATTTAAGGATGTATTCAGTCACGTTTCAGTAAATTAAAATAAATCAATTATTCTCAACCGGACTATGTGTAAAGGGGAATTTGATCAAATATTTATCTAAATAGCAATTAACAAACACCAAAACACATTAATGCTCTACTGTTAATCAAGGGTTTGCCATTCTCTGCTCATTAAGAAGAAAATGTAAACCTTCACTAATGAGCAAAAACTGAGTCTTCAAACTTAAAAAAAAAATAATAATGTGACATTTATCATGATAATTACCTTTATCAAGTGATATGATCAGATATACACAAGATTCCATATGTAGAATTTAGTGACATCTAGTGGTGATGTGTCATATTGCAGCTGAACACCCCTCACCTCACCCTCCCCTTCCAAACATGACAGAGAACCTGTTCTGCAGTTGTCATAAAAACTCAAAAGGTTTAGTTTGTCCAGTTTGGGCTACTGTAAAAAACCTGGTGGCCTCTGTGGAGAAGACCTGCTTCTGATGTAAATATAAAGTATTTACATATAAAGAGGGTAAAGAAAACAACAATTTATACAATTTAGATGAAACACACTAGTGAAAACTTCTCTTGGATTATTTTATATTCAGTTTCTCCCAATAGATCCATTTCACCTTCATCTTACACACTGGGTCGTTAAACTTGGTGTAATTCTTGGCCATTTCAAATTGCAGCTACAAGCACAGTTTACAAAATAAGAAGGTGACACGTGGATGAGATAAATAAATGAGCATTCCCATGTTTTTACTATGAGTGAGCTAGCTAACTACCTTCTGTAGTGTCGTATATTGGGCTTGCGATGATGTGAAGATGATGAAGGAATCTCCGATGACACCGTCTTGATTGTATATAAAAGTTTAATACAAAAAGTTCAGCATCAATACAAGCAAAGCAATCTGCCTGGAGAGAGATTCGGGGCCAATGTGAATCTTCTGTCGAGGCAACTTCATCTCCTCGTTTATATAGGAGGGTTGTTTGCGTAAACCTAAAGAAAATGCATCTGGCTTTCCTCCAGATTGTCCGGTGTCAGGAAGGGAATAGCACCAGCTCTTCACGTTTATACAGTCACAGGAAGGGAGACGACACTAGCCCAATTTTAGTGTTGCACTTGGAACTGTGACCTATCACCCTACCATTTGTTCAGGCTTTCTCCAAATTCCTCAAGACCTGTGGACCTCAAACCTAARGATAAATTTCTTTTATGGGGAGGACTACACATAGCATTTCAGACACCACAGTAGCATTAGCCTTGTAGTTTTGTTGGATTTCAACAACAGCTGTGGCAGACTACAGCTCAGTTAATGAATTTCTAAAAGGTGTAACCGTGTTAAAAGATGATCTCTGTTGGAGTTGTAATTGTAAAAACGCTGAATTCAATTCAAAAGAAGCCACTATAACGTATTGATGGATTCACAGAATGATTGAAAGATCCATCACAAAAAAAATTTCAATATTGGACTTTCCCAATGACCAGCCGGTGGCATCACCTGACAGAGAGAGAGAGAGAGAGAGTGAGAGAGAGAGAGAGACCTGGAACTACGCCTTTGACATTGATGTGTGTCTCTCTGTAATAGATCAAGGGATGATGAGTATGTGTTTTAGAATAAAGCAGATCATAGCCAAATAGCTCACCTCTTTAAGACAAACAAACACTCACACGAAATACGTCTTTCTGGCAACTTTTGACCATCACAAGATAATACTCTACAACAACGTTTGTACACAGCTACAGAAGAAAATACTCTACAGAAACCTTGTTTATACACTGCAGTACCTTTTAATCAACATGGAGAGGATCAACAGCACAAAATATGAGGTAAGACTTTTCTAAGGAGGAGAGAGTTTGAGGCAAACTTTACTTAAGTGTTATACTTGTTCAAACCACCTTAGATTTTCTTTCATTTCTTTATCTTATCTAGGGGATGAATTTCCAACAAACCCATCACAATAGTTGTCTGACATTCAGACTGAGTAACATTTTGTGTCTGTATGTAACAGTAGTTTGCCTGACATGCTGCTCCTGTTCACTTTGCTATTGTGAATCAGAAGAAACACCTTTTTGGGAGTGTGCTTTAATTTGTTCTTTGTATGTTGTGTCTTTCAGTCACTTGGACAAGTGCAACCCAAGGATTCAACCCAGCGACACAGTTGCAGCAAAAGCAAAATGCTGCAGGACCTCCGTCAAGCCCTCCAGGACTCGAAGAGGGAGAATCAGGAGCTGGCAGCTGAAAACGCCCGTCTGAAGGAGCTGGAGGCTGAAAACGCCCGTCTGAAGGAGCTGGAGGCTGAAAACGCCCGTCTGAAGGAGCTAGAGGCTGAAAACGCTCGGCCAGAGGAGCTGGAGGTTAAAAACGCCTTGCTAAGGAGGCTGGAGGTAGAAAACGCCCAGCTGAAGGCTGAAAACAACTGTCTGGAGGAGCTGAAGGCTGACAACTACAGGCTGGTGGGGATGGAGATAGAAAGCACCTGTTTGAAGGCTGTAAACACACGGCTGAAGGCTGAAAACGCCCAGCTGAAGGGGGTGGAGATAAAAAACGCCTGTCTGGAGAAATCAGAGGCTGAAAATGCCCAGCTGAAGGAAGAAATCGCCCAGCTGAAGGCTGAAAACAACCGTCTTGAGGAATCAGGGGCTGGAAAGTACATGCTGATGGGAATGGAGATAGAAAGCAACTGGTTGAAGGCTGAAAACACACGGCTGAAGGCTGAAAACAACCGTCTAGAGGAATCAGAGGCTGAAAATGCCCAGCTGAAGGTAGAAAACGCCCAACTGAAGGCTGAAAACAACCATCTGGAGGAATCAGGGGCTGGAAAGTACATGCTGATGGGGATGGAGATAGAAAGCAACTGGTTGAAGGCTGAAAACACATGGCTGAAGGCTGAAAACAACCGTCTAGAGGAATCAGAGGCTGAAAATGCCCAGCTGAAGGTAGAAAACGCCCANGAGGAATCAGAGGCTGAAAATGCCCAGCTGAAGGTAGAAAACGCCCAACTGAAGGAGCTGGAGGTAGAAAACGCCCAACTGAAGGCTGAAAACAACCGTCTGGAGGAGCTGGAGGCTGAAAATGACCATCTGAAGGGTCTGGAGGTACGTTACAGATCAGCTCATTCTGATTTGAATAATACTGGATTGTTGATTTGTTTCAGATTCAGACTTTGAAAAAGTGAAACTTATGCTGTCTCTGTCTTTTCAGGAACAGGCCTTGAAGACCGACAGCTACAAGGGCAGGGCCAAGAAGGAGAAAAAGGAGAAGAAAGAAAGGAAGAAGAGAGATGAGGAGGAGAAGAAAGAA